CCCCCTCGGTCCCGGTCGGTGTTCCTACGGGCAATGGAAGCTGCGGGTGATGCCGAAGGTGGGACGAGCACAACGGGCGCACGATGGAGTCTCGTGTCTGACCCTGCCCCGGACACCGGCCCGCGGCCGCCGAGACTCGGGGGAGGGAAGGGAAACGCTCACCCGGCCGGAGTTCAGTGGGGAGGAGGAAGGAGAGCCCGAGCATTCCCACTGCTGCCTCCCGGGGCCGTTTCCCGCCCCACCCGCAGGGTCCCGGGGCCGGGAGGGCTCGGGGGGGACATTCCTCCCAAGCCCGGGGGCCGCCGGGCCCCCCCAGCTCCTGCCTTTGGACAGCCGGGAGCGGCTCCCGGGGCTCGGCCCTTCCCTCGGGGACGCCCCGTCCCCCCGAGGGTGTCACTGCCACCAAGCTCCAAGAAAACTACAAATTCTGCCTAAACGACACAAACGCGGGGGGTCCCAGAGCCCCCCTCGCACCGACACTACGCGGGGACAACACCGGGGGTCAGCGTAGAAAACTACATTCAGTTTGCGGCCAGGACCCGACCCACGGGAGCCACGCCCGGGGCAGCAGCGGAGCCGCCGCTGCCGTGGCCTCAAGCCCTCAAACCTGTTACTTGAATGTACTTGTTTAACAGTATAAAAAGCCCGAAGTAACTGTATATGCCACTGATATGCAGGGAGACACCAGGCTCGGGAAAGGGGGGAGGCTCCTGCCTGGAGGGACCCCAGCTGGGATGGAGCTCCCACCCGGCCCTGCTCCCTCCCCATCCCTTCAGCAGCTCAGACACCTCCACACCCTCATCCTGAGCTCTGGGAAGGGCTTTGCTGAGCCTCCAGCCCAGCCTGAGCCCAGCTCAGCTCAGCCACCCCTGCAAAACCAGGACCCCCCAGCGCCAGCTCAGGACAGGAACATGTACATTCAACTTGCATCTAATTCAGACCACAACTCCTACTTTTTCCCAAATTTGCTGCCTCCAGCCCTCGGTGGAGCTGCCGGCCCCCTCCCACCCGGCAGCGTCTCTGCAGGTCTCTGCACCACCCAGCTCATCCCACCTCTCCAGAAAATAAAAGCCATTTCCAGCACACACGGCTCCTTCCCAGCAATATGTACAGCCGCTTCCTCAAGAGAAAATACAAAAAAAGAAATCCATATTAAAACTGAAGCTGTCCTAGAAACACCACAGCAAACTAATGTATCCGGATTTAGTTCGTCAGCTAAACACAGGCACAACAAGTGTTAGAGAAGTGGCACAGAAGCACAGGCCGGTGGGGGCAGCTGGGCCGGGGGCTGTGTCGGGCAGGGACAGGCCTGGGTGCCAAATCCTCATCCAGGGCTGCCCGGCAGTGGGAAATGGGATAAAAGCAGTGCAGGGGAGAGGTGATGTCGCTGTCCCTTCGCAGGGGACGGGGGCTCGTTTGCTGTTTGTTTTTTGCAATCTCAGAAGATAAAGTGCAATGTTGCCACTTGCCTTCCTCCTGCAGCACCTGAACCACGGCCGGGACCCGGCTGCCTCCCTCCACCCGGGACTCTCATCCCGGGGCACTCAGGGAACTCCTCCCGGGGTGCCCCGGGCAGAGCAGCAAGAGGGACACGACATCTCAGCCTCCACCTCCTCTTTGGTTACCCACGAGCATCTCCGGCCGCTGCCCATCGGCACAAACCCTGCTGCCAGCTCGGTGAGCCTGGAGAGCGGCTCCAGCCCTTCCCAGCCCGTGTTGGTGGGTCACAGGCAGGGAAACCAGGCTCCAGGCAGGGAAGCCGGGATCCAGGCAGGGAAACCGGGATCCAGGCTCACCGTGCAGGCTCAGGACCCTCACACCAGCCCCTGCCAGCCCCGGCCCGGAGCACACGGACGTTATTGCTTGGGAAACACACGGCCCCGTCCTGCCCAGGGGCTCGGCCTGCTCCTCTCCTCTCCTCAGTCCCTCTCCTCCAAACTTCCCCTGGATTCAAGTGTTGGAAAAAAAGAAACCAAACCAAAGCCAAGACTGACAAGCTGAAGCTGGTGTTTAGAATTTAGCAGTAAGAGAAAGAAGGAAGCGCCAGCGGGAGGGCAGTGATATATACCGGGGTGGGTGGGACACAGGGGACAGGCAGCACCGGCTCGGGGCCGGAGAAACGGGGGCCCGGCCCCAGCTCCGGCTTCTCCTTCCGGAGCCAGGGCTGGGATCGGTGCTGGGAACGCTGGGAGCACACACAGACACAGGAGGGCAGGGAGCGATGGCACGTTCCCTGTTTGGGATCAAAGGGATGTGGCACAGAGGGAGCGGAGAGGTGGAGAGGA